AAATGATGGGGTATTGTTATCAACCTGCCGGGCGGGTGGGTGGGAACCTGATGGACACTCAATGTTGCAAAGGTGCACCTAATAATAATCTGGGATATATTTAAATTTTAATGGCTTTGATCTCAATGTCAAGGTTAAAGTACAAGTTTTCTGAAAACCTTGTCTGTGTGATAATTTTATAACGAGGTCATCTAGGCATCTCAAATGATTGCAATTATCAACTCAAGGTCAAGGTCAGAGGTCAAAATCAATCAATTTTCCCGTAGACTCCTGGTGGAGCATAGGCCTTCTAGGTCAGAGGTCAAGTTTACTGAAAATCTTGTAAATACAAATTGATGTATGTAAATAGATATTTGTGAAATAGCAGGCAATGAAGTATAATCAGGTTTTGATGATGTTTTAGGTGAGACAAGTCAGGTAAGACTACACTGTGAATGAAAAAGGGTTCATATATATTAAGGTGTGATGCATGACATTTGATGCATTGTTAATTGTTGTTTTTGGTTTTTAATGTTTGTTAACTAGAATTCTTACGCTGATTGGGAAGACTAGAGACAACATAGAAATTCATTTTGTGTTGTGTCCGGCAGGACATCTGGCATTAAATCAAAATCAAATATGCAGTGCTACCTGTAATAGTGTGGCAGCCCACTGCAAATGCGGGAGGAGATGAAAGTAGCTCTGTTACATAATCTGATTGCCTCAAATTAGGATTAGGGGCTGGTTTGGAGTTATCATCTATGATAATTTAGACCTCAGAGGATTAAACCTTTCTTTTTTTATCTGACGTGTTACTGACCGTAGCTGAAACACAGCATTGCTGGAAACCTCCCGAGACATGACTCCTTCCCTCTGACACCACTCTTTGCCCTCCTCATCCACAATGCTCAGCTCCACACTTTCTGTACCACAGTCACCGCTGACACAGCTCCACGTGTCTTGATCAGTGCATGAGCGAAAGCTCAGCTTGTAGTGAAAGGCCACCTGTAATATTGTAACAATAACACCTGTTGTGTTATTATAAAGAGTCCATGCACTGTTCAAATAAAGTCAGTGCTTTTCGGAGCCTTTTGGAATGTCAGTGAATTTGCCTTTACTTCAATCCTCCTTAATTAATAAGTAAAACTCTGAGCCCCTATTTCAGACTAAACTAAAGAGTCCTGGCATTAATGGTATAGGTACACCTACCGTGACAGAGCCATTATGCGTCTTGTCTTTGGGGGTAAAAGTCATCACTGTCCCAAAGAAATGGTTAGCCTGAGAACCAAAGAGCAGCAGCAATAGAAAGAGGAGCAGCATGTTTATATCCATAGTTGTGATCAGTGAAACTGCGTAGCCCTAAAATAAAGTTTAAAATAGAGTAAAATAAAGTCCTTGACCCAGTTATGTATGGCTCTGAAATGAAACAAACAACGTGTTTTTCTCCCAGTACTCCTCCTACGTTTGTCTCCTCCCTTTACAACTATAACTATGACACAGTTATGTTGTAAACTGAGAGCAGACAAACGGATCCTGTTTACTTAGAGTTAACTAACTTTTTGCTCTAATCAATCTGATTGTATTGAGGAGCCCCACCTTTAAAGTTCACATCTCTTTCTCTCTCACTCTCTTGTTTTTGACAGAGTAGCAGTGGAAACATGATATGTGGCTTCTGCCATTCCTGAACGTGAGAAGGAAGCAGAAGGGTGTGCCAGCTGCTACCACGATCCAAACATTCTGGCACTGCAGGAAGCTGACTCACCAACTGTTACAAGCTTTAATTATTCCCACAATAGTGCTGTGATTATGTGCAGATTTACTTTTAAATCATGCAGTCTGATGCAGTGTGCACTACTATGTTAAACAGCAACTACACATTACTTGTAGGTCCTAAAGTACTTTCTTTTTTTTTCAGGCCATTTTCATTTCCATAGGTCTAAAATGATGCCGTTTTGTCTCAGCCACTGCTCTGCCACAGTTAGGCTCTCCTTTGGCAGTGGTGCAACCCAGTGGGAACCTCTGGGATTGGAAAATAAAGTCATCACTAAAGTTCCAATAATGGCTCAGCAGCACATCGGACTACAATTAAATGTAGGTGACAAAGATTGAGTGTGTAATGTTTTCCATTGTCAGGTGATTGTACAGGTGATCTGGTGGAAGAAAACCTGTCTCCAAGCACAGACTCCAATGATAAATGTCACACTTGACAACAGAAAAAAAAGGAGCCAGGAGGCATCATTTTCCCAAAGATGGTGCAAAACAAAACAAAACTAATATGACCTCAACATCCAGCTGCAGGTTCAACAGATGTCTGCAGGATCTTCAGGAAAATTGAAAAGCAGCAGGGAATTCACTTAACTTTGCTATTTACAATATAAATAGCACAGTTGTCTGAGTTGGCCTAATGTTTTTCTAATGTTTAAGTTGGGGAAACAAGCTTTTTCCTTTTGCAAAAACAGCTGCAACATTTTAGCACCAAGGAAATGCTGGACACCAAACTGGAGCCACAGATGTCAGTGGCTATTGGAGGACCTGGCACAAGAATTTCAGCAGTGACTCACACATGCCCACATATTGTGGCTGCCATGATATCTTTCCTATTTAAATTTCTCCAACATCTGGAAGTCATGCTTTGTCATATTTAGCTCTGGAATTTGTTAAAATGTGGGTTGGTCTTCAAAAGGCACCAGAACAGAATTGGCTTCACGTTGTATGAAAAGAGGACCGATGGAAATAACTTTAGCTCTCTAGTCATCACTTTGAAAGTCACCTACATTGAAACATAGTATGATGAGCTTAGACTACTTTACTTAGGATACTTTTTAGCCTTTTAACTGCAGACCTCTGAGGGGGGAGGGGGGAATGGAAATTGACAGACAAAACTATCCACTTGTATGTTAACTAGAAAACGTTTGCTCTTCTCCAAAGAGCTCCAAGAATAATAAATGCTGCTCTATCTGCAGAACAATCCCTCATATATTTGATACTCATGGTACAACTTGCTGGTAGCACTCCTGCATGTTTGGCTTTGATATAAATGCTAGAACCTTTAGCTGTTGGCATAGGTGTGTCTTTATTTATCATACTTAAAGTGTCTCCATTGTGAGCAGACACACACAGACATGTCCATGTATGATCATGTACAAACTTGCTCTCATGTTGACAGGCAGTGAAAATAACCAGTTGCTGACAATCTGGTCTGATCGGTACATGCTGACCTCAGTACTGAGGTAGTTTTTAGTTGAAAAACCCAAATATTAACATTGTCAGTGTATAATCTACCACAGATGTGTCAAACTCAGTGTCACTAAAGGCAACACTATGAAATGAGAATCAGAGAGTGAGTTAAAATGTGCACAGAAATTCCCTCTGTGGTGGAAAAGGTTTGTTGCACTGAACACTGAATAAATAAGGAAACCAATAACATAGGTTCAAAGGTCATTGTCATAAAATGCAGTCAAGGAGTTGCTAAATGAAAAGCTCCTGTTGATAACAGTTCAACAGGGACTACTGTGAGTTTTAGGATACTGACAGACATCAATGTTGCCATAACATGTAAATGTGTTAATCAGCTGAGAATCAATGATAGCACAAAAGTATCCAAAGAATACATCAGTGAGCAAAATGTTTCTTGAGCTATAGGAAATGAGTCTCTTAAACCAAAGTAATCATTTCAAAGTATCCATTTAATTTTTTTGAGCATATATATGACTTGACTTGTAAAGAGTCTGGACTGCCCAGAAAGTTAATGATAGACAATTTGTCAGGGCGAATTAATGATGTCAGTGAATTAAATAATTCCAAAATTATCTGTGTATTTTTTTTAAAGAGATACAGATAACAAATCCAAAAAATGACAAAGAAGTTCACACAGGGAATAGAAAGATCTTGTTAAGGCCAACGTGAAATGGTTCATTTCCTCATTTCAAACATCTAATATGATCTGGTATTCTGTTCAGTTCAATTCATTTTTATTTATATAGCATCACAAGAACAGGTGCCTCAAGATGTGTAAGGTAGAGACCCTACAATAATACAGAGAAACCCCAACAATCAGATGACCCCTTATGTGCAAGCACTT